AATCCTGCAACCTTCTTATTGCCATGGAGAATTTCTTCGAGTTCCTGAATGACTCAATGAAGTCATGTATGTTACTCTAGCCAGTCATATCTCAGCCCCAACTATTACTGACCACTATATATACACACGATGTAAACAAGTTACATGATTTGTTAAATTGTCATTTTCCAGTGCAGCAGACTGTAGCTCCCTTACAAGATGTCCATGTATTCCCAATCCCTGTAATGTTGTTGCTTTATTTATTTGGTGATGTATTTATTTATGTACATGTGTTTTTTTTTTTTTATGGTGCTTACTATCTTCATATCTGAACATATCCTTACAACACCTCAGAGTGGTAGGGAAGTATTATTATCCCTATTGTATGAAGTAGAGAACTGTCTCGTCAACACAAATGAAATACCAGCTGTTGGCTAGATCACCACCATTATTGTTGTCATTGAGGATAAAGGCCAGTGTAGGCGTAGGCGCTGACTTTTGTGGATACTCCAGCGTTTGAGTATTCACAGAAATAAAATAGGGTGTACTCAGCAGCCCCTTGGATCAGTGCCTCCTGCCCACAGCGATCAGCTGTTCAGTGGCATGCAGGAGGCATTGGGGTAAGGGTGGGGAGCAGGAGCAGGAAGAGACAGGGCAAAGGGGTGGAATAGGGCAGGAAGAGGCTGGGTGAGGGTGGGGGCTTGAGGGAAGGAGTGGAGTGGGAGCAGGGACTGAGGTGGAGCCGGGGTCCAGCATCCCCAGGGGAAATCACAAAATCGGCTCCTCTGAGTACAGGCACTGCCTAAACCATTTGCTGAAAGATACACGAGAAGTGTGTGGTAGAGGCAGGAATAGAACTCATGCCTCTTGAGCTTCAGGCCAGTCTAAGAAGAGCATCTCTAACGGTAATCAAGGATTCCTCACAATGCAGTATTAAAAAGCTGGATGCCCAACAGAGGTGCTCTCACACATTGTATTAACTCTACTACTAAATCATGAGTTCTCGGTTCAGAAAGACTTTTAATACTAAGATAACATGACGGGGTTTTAGTTTAAGACCAGAAACCAGAATAATCTGAACCTCACCAAATAATATAACTCTTGTATTTATATATTTTTTTAAATGACCCCCTATCGGTTCTGTGCTTGCGGCAAGTCCAGCCCCAGGCTGAGCACCCCTGGCAGCAGAATTGGGGTGATTCCACAGTACAAGAGAAGAGGTATTCAGGCAGTACCCCCTGTGCAATGCAGGGCCCACTCCACAAGAGCAACCTGCATGCCTGAACATAGGGTTCAGATGAAGGTAGGGCATGTGTTGTCAGGGCTGGAAGACAAATATGCTACCCTCGCCTTTGGATTGCAGTGTCCCTGCAGAGTAGCTCCATAACCTGGGGAGAAGAATTTCTCCTGCTGCGCCCATACTGCAGTTACTTGTGCTGGGTATGGGGCCCAAGATTTGGCATTTACTCTGAAGAAGCAGTGTAATAAATACACAACATAGGTCTTTTCCTAGGTCCTGCTTCTGCACCACTAAAGTCAATGGGAGTATTGCACCTGCTTTTTGTAAATTACACACACCACCACTGACAGGGAGCCAGGTCTGGGATGGAGGACAGCTACCGAACAATCCTCAGCACACTGACTAGCATCGGAGGAGGGAAAATGTTGGCCCTACTTTGCTCATATTCCTATAGTAAGTGCCATGGGATTTTTAATGTCCATGTAGAGCTGAAAGTGCCCAGATTTCATCTGAAAAATCCACATGCAGTATTCAGCGTGCAACTCAGTTTATCTTCTTTAGATAAATGAAAGGCTGCTCGCATTTGAGCATGTTGTTCCAAGAGTTTGAATCTAGGGCCCAAAGCCCATTGAAGTCTGTGGGAATCTTTCCATTGGGTTCAGTGGTTTCTAAGTCAGGCTCTAAGCATTCAGAATCAATGCTAGCAGTCCAACTCATAAATGTACACTTACCATGATGTTTAGAGATTTATGCAGTATAGCACGTTATCCATGCACATTGAAATAAGGAGGCATCCTCACATGGACAATATCCTATTATTTATGTATTACAATTAATGGAAATACTAAAAGGTGGACCTATCCATATGACCAAAGTGCATTTGGCACAGCTTAAAAATGCATCCTAAGGAAAAATTTATCCATATTCTACCCTGGATGTTTGAGCAGAATACATCAAAATTAACATTTAATTAAATTTAATTGCAAGCAGACACAGGAAAAAAGGTGACCCTGATATTCATACATGGGGAAATTACTATTGGTTAATCAGCCCATGTTCTTAACACTATCTGCGTCCTATTGAGTGAAGTACTGACAGGTTTCAGAGTAGCAGCCGTGTTAGTCTGTATCCGCAAAAAGAACAGGAGTACTTGTGGCACCTTAGAGACTAACCAATTTATTTGAGCATAAGCTTTCGTGAGCTACAGCTCACTTCATCGGATGTAGTTGATGTTTTTTTCTTAAGTGAGTTAAAGAAAAGTCTGAAGTTGCTGTTAGTAAGAGGTAAGTTCAAAGGTTGTCTATAGGCTCTGTCTTGATGGGCAAAAAGGGTATGTTTCTAATTGTATTAGCTGGATTGAATTAACTGAGAAGCCCTTTTAGGGTATGTCTACACTGCATGTGGGAATGAGCCTCCAGTCCAGGGCCCCACAGACTTGCACTAACACCCTAAAAATAGCTGTGTAGATGTTGCTTTGGTCTTGTGACTTGGGCTCTTAAGACTGGGGCAGGAGAGGGAAGGACTTCAGAGCCCCTGCTCCACCCCTGGCTACAACATCTACGCAGCTGTTCCTGGAGCACCAGGCTGCGTCTGTGAGGGCTTGCATCCAACTGCAGTGTAGACTTGCCCTTAATGCTCCTTAAGACTAAAGAGGCTTGTTAATCCTGTTAAACTAATTTGACTGAGCCAAAGTAATTTAAAAAACCACACCTAATTCATCTGTCAAGAGTCAGAGGGCTTAAAAAAATGAGACAGGCACAATGGCCTTTGAGGCTGTGTCTAGATGGACAAATAAGGAGACTTTCTCCCCTCAGGTACTTTTAGCACCTGGTGTCTTTTTTACCACATTCACTAATGTAGTAACTTCCTAATGGGGACACCTCAGTTTGTAGGTTTCAGAGTAACAGCCGTGTTAGTCGGTATTCGCAAAAAGAAAAGGAGGACTTGTGGCACCTTAGAGACTAACCAATTTATTTGAGCATGAGCTTTCGTGAGCTACAGCTCACTTCATCGGATGCATACCGTGGAAACTGCAGCAGACTTTATATACACACAGAGATCATGAAACAATACCTCCTCCCACCCCACTGTCCTGCTGGTAATAGCTTATCTAAAGTGATCATCAAGTTGGGCCATTTCCAGCACAAATCCAGGTTTTCTCCCCCTCCCCCCCCCCCCACACACAAACTCACTCTCCTGCTGGTAATAGCCCATCCAAAGTGACAACTCTCTACACAATGTGCATGATAATCAAGGTGGGCCATTTCCTGCACAAATCCAGGTTCTCTCACCCCCTCACCTCCCTCCAAAAAACACACACACAAACTCACTCTCCTGCTGGTAATAGCTCATCCACATCATGCACATTGTGTAGAGAGTTGTCACTTTGGATGGGCTATTACCAGCAGGAGAGTGAGTTTGTGTGTGGGGAGGTGGAGGGTGAGAAAACCTGGATTTGTGCTGGAAATGGCCCAACTTGATGATCACTTTAGATAAACTATTACCAGCAGGACAGTGGGGTGGAGGAGGTATTGTTTCATGGTCTCTGTTTGTATATAAAGTCTGCTGCAGTTTCCACAGTATGCATCCGATGAAGTGAGCTGTAGCTCACGAAAGCTCATGCTCAAATAAATTGGTTAGTCTCTAAGGTGCCACAAGTACTCCTTTTCTTTTTGCTCAGTTTGTAGGTTTTCATACCTTAGCAGGCTAAGGTAAACCCTTGGCTCCTTACTGGTATTTATCTCCGACTTGCTAACCATGTGTAAATTACATATGCCTTGCACACAGCGGGATTTTATCATGTATTATCTAGTACACAGTAACCGGTTTACCCCCACACTTTTTTTTCCCTTAGTTTGGATGCACCTTTAAAGTATTTAGAGCTGGTTGTTACGCTTCAATGTGACCCAGCTCAAATGAAGAGTGTCTATGGGGGTTTTAAAGGATATCTTAATTGAGTTAAATTAACTCATCTGAGAAAATTGGATTGAAAAACACTTTTGCCCCAGAAGACAGAAGTTTATTGTGCTGAATATAGGCCTTGTTTAGACTAGACTCGATAGGTGATGTTGGCACATATGATAGGTGATGTTGGCACATATGATACGTTTGTGAAGTCTAGTGCAAACAAGGCACCTTGCTTTAACCCATGCTAAAATGGGTGAGAGAAAAGCGGTAACATTACTCCATAACTCTTAGCCTAGACAAGTCCTGGACAGCCCAGGCATAATTCACTTCCCTAAATTAATCTCCGCTTTCTCTCCTGCCTGCCTTAACCACGTATTAGCACTAACGGGGCAATTCTGAGTGAAGTGCAGTGTTGGGAAAGGCGCTGGGTTTATCCCTACTGTTCCCACGGTGGCCATCGATTTAAGTAAATTCCCACAATTCTTTGTCAAATACAGAGTTGACATAAGGAGTAGCGTGCATTTCAGACCCTGGCTCTTCCCGGGGCCAATGCAGCTGACAGTTGTTGTAAAGTGAGGATCATTGCTGTGAATAAAGAGATGGCCAGCCAGCTCATCTGGCCAGATTTTCTATTTTAAAATCTACAGCACTTTCTCCGATCCTTTACCAGCTGCTTAAAGTGGCACGTAAAGTACTTTTGAAAGAGATCCATTTGCCAACATTTTGCGGGCTCTGTTGGTTAATTCTTTAACATCCGAGTCGTTACTGAATCAAAGAGAACACCGCATGCAGGAAGCAAAAACGAACACCCTGGCCTCTCCTTCCAGAAAAGCACTCTCCCCCTTCCCTCTGGGAGGCAACCCAGATCAGCTTTAGCTCTTTTCAGCCCGGTCTGTATTAAATCCTTGTAGTTTAAGGTGCCCCATGTAAAGTAAGCAGAGGCCAGGGGAGTTGGTGTAATCCGATTCCAGTGAGCTAGGGGCCAGGATTTCACTGTAACTTTGCTGCGGCTTCCCTAGTTCCCGGCGGATCGGCACGAGCAGAAGTTGGCCGCCCCGGGCAGCCCTAGGAGGAGGCTGTGTGTACCCCTGACCTGGCCACCTCTTCCACACGGCGTCTCGGACCGTGCGGGGCGATTCAGCCCAGTCACCCTGCGGCGGCCGCAGCGCACGCCAGGTGAGCGCCTCCGGGTCCCCGGTGCCGAGCTTGACCTTGGGTTAGGGTTTTATGGCAGCTCTTCCGAGAAGGGCTGGCTAGGCGGGGGCGGTGAGAGGTGAGATTGGGTGCGAGGGGGACAGCGGGATGGTGGAGGAGGAGAGGGTGCGATAGGAGATGAAAAGGGATCCGGGGTGTTAAAGGGAGTGGAGTGGAGTCGGGGGGAAACTGCAGCGGAGGAAAGACCTGTGGGGTTAAGGGTGTGGATGTGTTTGGGGGGGGGGGGGGAGATGCATTATTATTGGTATTGCAATAGCACCTACCGGCCCTAGTCATTGGCTGGGGCCCTACTGGGTGAGGGGGAAAGCGAGTGTGTGTGTGTGTGAGAGTGTTGGGGATAATGTGGGCTAACGGGGTGCGTGCTGAGGGTTGTGATGGGGAGGGGCCGCCGGGAGGGCCGGTATGAGGGCAGAGGTTTGAAAGGAGAAGAAGAGGGGAGGAATTCAACGGAATCGTTGCTTGTATAATGAGAAGAGAGTTTCTCTCTCTTGTCCTACCACCCCTGTTCATGTTGTCAGGCAGCCAGTCCCCTAGCAGGAGCAGACGTCCAAGGTGCAAAGGCAGCCAATGGCAGGGGCCGCAGGTTTGTATAATTTTTGGTGGTGCCCAGAACGGGTCCAAGTCCCTCCCTCCCCACCTGCCTTGTAAGCCGATATATATATTTTAAACGAATGTAAACGCGGACTGGAAACAGTAAGTGTTTAACAGTTTCCCTATATTACACAACGTGGGGGGATGAGGGGTTTGGACTGTGGAAGGGGGCTCAGGGCTAGTGCAGAGGGTTGGGGTGGGGCTGGGGATGAGGGGTTTGGAAGGGGGCTCAGGGCTAGGGCAGAGGGTTGGGGTGGGGCTGGGGATGAGGGGTTTGGAAGGGGGCTCAGGGCTAGGGCAGAGGGTTGGGGTGGGGCTGGGGATGAGGGGTTTGGAAGGGGGCTCAGGGCTAGGGCAGAGGGTTGAGGTGTGGAGGTGAGGGCTGGGGAGGAGGTGGTTCACGGTGAGAAGGGGGCTCAGGGCTAGGGCAGAGGGTTGAGGTGTGGAGGTGAGGGCTGGGGAGGAGGTTGCTCACGGTGCAGGAGGGGGCTCAGGGCTGGGGTAGAGGGTTGGGGTGCAGGGGGGTGAGGGCTCTGGGTAGGCTGGGGATGAGGGGTTTGGGGTGTGGGAAGGGATTCAGGGCTAGGGCAGAGGGTTGGGATGAGGGGTGTGGGAGTGGCTCAGGGCTAGGGCAGAGGGTTGAGGTGCGGGGGTGAGGACTGCAGAGGGTGGGGCTGGGGGGAATGAGGGGTGCGGGGTGCAGAAGGGGGCTCAGGGCTGAGGGCAGAGGGTTGCAAGGTGTGGGTGGGAAATGAAGGGTTATGGTGAGGAGGTGGCTCAGGGCTAGGGCAGAGGGTTGCGGTGTGGGGGGGATGAGGGGTGTGGGAGTGGCTCAGGGCTAGAGCAGACGGTTGAGGTTTGGGAGTGGCTCAGGGCTAGGGCAGAGGGTTGGGATGAGGGGTGTGGGAGTGGCTCAGGGCTAGGGCAGAGGGTTGAGGTGCGGGGGTGAGGACTGCAAGGTGGGGCTGGGGAATGAAGGGTTCATGGTGCAGGAGGGGGCTCAGGGCTAGGGCAGAGGGTTGCGGTGTGGGGGGATGAGGGGATTGGGGTGTGGGAGTGGCTCAGGGCTAGGGCAGAGGATTGGGGTGGGGCTGGGGATGAGGGGTTTGGAAGGGGGCTCAGGGCTAGGGCAGAGGGTTGAGGTGCAGGGGTGAGGGCTGTGGGGTGGGGCTGGGGGATGAAGGGTTCACAGTGCAGGAGGGGGCTCAGGGCTGGGGTAGAGGGTTGGTGTGCGGGGGGGGTGAGGACTCTGGCTGGGGGCGCAGGCTCTGAGGCAGGATGGGGTGGGGATGAGGAGTTTAGGGTGCAGGCAGGCTGCCCCAGGGCTGGGGCCAGAGAGGAAGACTCCACGGTCCCTCCAGCCCTTTCCCGGCTGGCAGCAGCGAGATCCAGGGAAGGGCTTCCCCCCCCCCCCCCCGGCAGCACACTCACCCGGTACCATCACTGCACATGCTCCTAGAGGCCGGGCCCCTTTCAGGTACAGGAAGCCCCCTTGACTCACCTGTGGTGAGTGCCGGGGCGGGGGGAGGGCTGCCATCATGTGCGCGCCTCCTCCCTCCACAGGCAGCAGCTGCACTGCCGCAGCAGCCTGCCGCCGGCACTGCTCCTTTTTGCAGCCAGTGAGGGAGGGCAGCCACTCCCTGCCCAGAGCACAGGCAGGGACGCTCTGGGGGAAGTGCGCCTAGGGTGACCAGATGTCCCAATTTAATATGGATGGTCCCGATTTTTGGGTCTTTTTCCTACTTAGGCTCCTATTATCTCCCACCCCCATCCCGATTTTTCACATTTGCTGTCTGGTCACCCTAGGCATGTGGGGCCGGGGGAGAGACCCGTCCCCGAATATTGGTGGAGCCGGGCCCCTGGGCCCTGAATTTGCTGGAGCACAGGCACCATAGGCCCATGTAACTCGTTGCCCCTGGCCAAAGGCAAGAAGGTTTCCAAATGCTCCGCTAGTTAGATCGGCTAGGAAACTTCCTGGGGAAAGTGGCTTTTCCTTGGTTGTCGTAACAGGCTCGGGAACAAGGATGTGGTGGTGTTATCTGGGCGAGGCAAGGTACAGAGGCGACCGGAGAGGGCATGGGCAGGGGTCTACCAGAGCAAAGGGCAGCCTTGTTCTCTGCCTGCTTGCATGCAAAGTGCAGGAACCAAAGCAACCCATTATTTTGAGACAAAGGGATGTCATGATTTAGATCTGATAACTTTACCTGCTAGGAAGAGTTTCAACTGGGAAATAGTTTCAAAAACACACTTTGCAAAACTGTTAGAGGGCAGAGTCCGGCTTTCTCTCCTTGAGTTCAAAGGCAAAATGCCCGGTGAATTCAGTGGGAAGAGGATTGCTGCTTTGGGGCTGGACTGTGCTATGTTACTCACATCAAGTAGCATTGTCCTGCACAGGTACCTGTATCAAATTCAGTGGCACTAACTCCATATGTGAGGGTGAGAGGTCCCACAAGCTGGCATTCTGGGCTTTCTGTCAAACACTCTTCCTGTAAGTGTATTGGAGATGAGATTTTAAAGACACTGTGTGTTGCGGTAGACCTATATTTAGTCCTGCATATATGGAAATAGTTTGCTGCAGTGTTGTATAAAATTATAAATGTGACTATTTTAGAGCTGGTTAAAAACTTTTGAACTTTGAAAATATTATACTAAAATGGGCATATTTCATAAAAAAATTGTATGAGAAATTCATTCCATTTTCTAGTTAGCTATGGAGCTAGTAGAAACATTTCAAAATTAAAAAAATTTCAACGGGAAAAGTGGGATGAAACTTTCACCCCCCCACCCAAATCATTTGAGTCCCATTTTTTTTGACCAGCTCTACAATATTTACAGTTTTGTTGCTGATTGTATAAAAAGGCAAACTTGTACAAAAGCTCTGTCCTGTAGTCCAATAGTTTGAATAACATGAGTTTCTTCACTAATATTTTAAGTGAATTATCTTCATATTCCCTCTACTTTTGTGGTTTCCAACCACAGAACTGTGATAGATTGATTTTTTAAAAAAAAAAACATATTTGTTTTCAATTTTTCAGTTTATAATACATCAGTATGATTAACCATGAGTGATACCACCTGGGAATTTGGATAGTTGAACCATTTTTTGATTGTATCACAGAATGTAATTATCTTATTCCTTGGGATACCTGTGCAACTATACCTGTTCCAAATTCTATTTGAAATAATTATTTCAAATATAAGAATGAACATTGGAGCATTTGCAGCATGAGCTATGCTTCTGTAGTATGTAATATGTGCAGAGAGGATTAATTGTCTGTCAGTTTATTACCTAAGACTTGATCATGCAAAACCTTAGTGATGCACATGGTCTTTACTTATAGAAGTAGACCCATTGAAATCAATGGAATTAATTGTGTGATGAAGGATTGCTAAATGTGGCCCATATTATTGTATAGGGATATTAAAACCATAAAAATAAAAAAGGTGACTTAATCATGTTGAGAACCTTCTGGGAGGTCCTCAGTGCTAGGGGTAGTTGAGTGCTCAGCATCTTGCAGGACTGAGCCAACCCATAAGTATGAAGTAATATAAATATGCAAATACCTTCCAACCTACCTACATTATAAAGCTTTTAAACAATTATTTGTTTGTATCTCTATGTAGTTAGTACATGCTTGATAATTCAACTAAAAAACAAAAAAGCAAAATGAGAATACTTATAATGAGCCTTGGTTGAACTAGTACTTTTTGATTAATTTGCCATTAGTTTACTTTTAAACTTGTTTAATTCCAAGAATGTAGACTCTTAATGAAACATTTGGGATGAATTCAAGTACGTTTGCGTGATAACCTTTTGACTGCGTTGATTTTATCGAATTAACAAGCTAGTTGGAGCAGCCACATTCTATTTGTTGTTGTATGTCTGTTCCTGCAGAGTCAGTGAAATAACGTTTCCTTTAATGCTGGGAAATTACAGGGAAAACATGAAACTTAATGAAGTGTAGCAGGATTACACTTTGCTCAAAAGAGGTCTGTTATGCCTTTATTGTATATAATGTTGTTATTGTTAATGTAACATCATTACAATGCAATCTTTCACAAAAATAGTCCGTAGTATTATCCATTCATTACTTTTTCTCCACTATTTTATTTCATACCCTATTTTTCCTTTCTATTCTATCTTTTACTTTGTCATTACCTGTGAGAGCATGTGGCAACACCATTTTAATTGAGAGTATGTCAATATTTTCTTTAGAAGCCTCCATTTTAAGCACTCTAAAACTCACTCATTAACTTTTGCTTTAAATTAAGACTGGGAAAGGCATGAAATAAAAATATCTCCATGCAAGAGAGTGCATTTTTATTTTACAAAGCTTTGTCAAAATTGGTTTAGCTACAAAAATTCAGGGAGGAAAAGCTTGAAAACAGAGTATTTTGTCCAGCTTTTGGCATTCAGTGTTCATCGCATACCTTTACCTAACAAATGGCTTTAAAAAGGTACACTTTTACTGACTGTTAAGGCTGGGCCAAATGCTGAAATCCTTTAGATAAAGCCTGTAGGGAGAGATTTTCAAATATTTTAGGTATGCACAGGGAACTGCCTTCCTTAGTTATGCATATAGTTACTGCACTTGTATGAAACAAAAAAGTAATTGAATGCTCAAACATCCTTATATGATCATTTGGGCATGCAATTAACAGATAGGTGTGTGCAGCCATAGTGACTGCACACAAAAAAAAGGCATGTAATTTTATGTATATTTGGCAGATGCTTGTCCTCGTTGATTTTACTTTACAGGTATTTGGTGATAATTGTAATCAATTTCAGGAGGCATTTACTGTACTGTTCTTTACAATCCCACCTGTCATGCATGAAGGGATCTTTGTATTGATAGGAACTGAATGTTATTCACTGGAATGTGTTCTGCCAGTCAGGTGGAATTATAAGGCTCCAGGAGTGTAGTATGTCCAGATAATAACCAATACTCTTTTTGTAAAGCATGCTGAGATGCCTCTAAGCATACAGAAAAA